ACCCAATGTTGGGTATCCGCCCGGAGAAGACAAACAACACAAAATCAAAATGCTCATGTTTTATTAGAAACAATTAAAATAATAATATAAAATACACAATAATGATAAGCTTAGAAATCCTAATAAAACATAGGTTGCGGCCTGCGGCGATATGTAAGACTAATTCCACTTGTGCAAGACCAAATTAAAATTTTCAATGTATAAATACTATAATACCCTTACTTGTTAAAAAAATTAAAAATTCCAAGTGCAATACCAAAAACTGAAAAACACATAAAAAACCCTATCATAAAACCACAAGACAAACTCTCATCTTCTCCATCTTCCAAAACCCACAAAACTTTTATCCTTCCTCCTCCATAAACCCACAAAACCTAAATATTCAAAATCATCAAAACTCAACAAATATTAAAAAGATGGCAAGTATGGAGTCAGATGACATCAAAATAGAAGATTCTACGGTGGAAGAACCCAAGAAGATATGCATTTATGTGTTTTTTAGCTAGAATATCGTTTTTCCAAAAAAAGTCCCGCGCAGACGCAATCGACATGTACAGGTTGAATTTATAGGTAAAAATCGACATTGAGATGTCAATTTTGGAGTACATCGACACCTTAATTGTCGAAATTTTGGGTGCTGAGTTTTTTTTAATTTCACGTTTTCTTTATTTTCTTCTTTTTGTTGTTTTTTTTTCATTATTTGTTATTTGGTCTTGCATGAGAAAACAAAAGTCAATTTAATTTATGGGTATATTTGTCATTTCATTTTAATAAAATGGAATCTTTTGGAATCTTTCTTTAATTTGGTCTTGCACAAGTGGAATTAGTATTGCATATAGCCGCAGCCTAAAACATATTAACTACGGAAGACAATATTCAACAACAATTAAATATATGCGAATCAATAAAAAAAAAACCTTAAATTAATTTGCAGAACATTAAAGGAAAAAATAATTCGTAGGGTTAGAATAGAAGAACCAGAAGCAAATCACACAGATTTGCAGGGAAGAAATCCTTCGACGGCTGCTCTGGTGAGGATTCGACGGCTCAGCCCTCAATCTCCGAGTCCTCGTCCAAGATCCAAGTGGGGCCTCCTAGCACTTACGGCAGCCACACACACGCACACACACACACACAGTGTATTCCAATGAAAAACATAGAAAACGAAACCGAAATTCAAACCCTAATCTCACCGGTTTATCCCTAAAGAAGTAAGCTCGAATTCATCGAAAAGAATCGAGTTTTGCTTCTAAAAAAAGTCTCTCTTTTCACTCTATTTTTTCCTCTCAAAATACACGAAGTATTCTCCTCTTTCTCGTCTCTATTTTTCTCGTTTTTTCCGTCCCCCACATAGAAAAGGAATAGGGTGCACTTATACGCCCAAATCCTCCACCAAACTCACGGAGAATCAGGCAACAAATCACCAAGATTTGTTGAGGATAAGAGGAAAGCTTTGTTGAGAGATAAATGGGCAGATTTGAAAAACAAATCTTCTGAAAAAACAAAACACAAAGATGTGATAAAATGGTGAAGAGAGATAAAGGGAAAGCCAAGGTGAGATTGAGCTGACTTTAATTTTTGGGCTCCAAATTGTGTGGGCTGCTTTCGTAAGTGGGTTGCAAGATGGATTTTTGAATGAGCCATTCACAAAGAATATATTTGGGCCACACTCTACAAATCTTCACCTGGCCTAAAAGGATCATCGGGACGCTTTTAGGAGAAACGAAGTTATTATTGCCGTATGACACTACCTGCACTCTAAATACAAAGTTAGTACAAGTTTAAAAAACAAAACACAAAGTAATGCAAAAAACAAGCAAAACACAAAGTAATGCAAATAACAAGCAAAACACAAAGTAATACAAATATTCTAACACATTAGAATACATCACCACCGTCGGATATCATATTGGCTTGATCTCTATGTTGGTTTTTCTTAGGCTTGGGACAATCACTAATGAAATGATTATGGTCACCGACTCACCGCAATTAAAACACCTTATATTATTAGGATTAGCCTTCGATTTACTCCAATCTCCACCCATTTTTCTTACTTTGATCAATTTGACTAAAATAAGCCTTGCTGTTTTGACAGCGATTAGACTGACTTCCTTTGGTAAAATTAACCTCACCAAATGATTTATCCCTATTAATTCCCAAATCAAGCTCTTTGCTTTTTAAAGCATTAATCACAGTATCTAAAGTAATCTTATCTCTACCATACTTAATAGGAAACTTAACATCATTATAAATTATCAGGAATAGCATTCAAGAGCACAATAGGGATGAAATCATCAATGTTCTTATCACCAGTTAATTTAATATCTTGAACTAATTTGGTAAAAACATCCATATTAGCATCAATATTTTTGCGTGATTCCAATTTAAATCCAAAAAACTTTCAAGCAAAAGCATTTTATTGGACAAAGAATTTTCAACATAAAGCTCTTCCAATTTATCCCATAAACTTCTAGCAGAATCATGCTTTCCTACTTTTCTAATCACAGAGTCACTTAGATTCAAGATAATAATTGTATAAGCAAGATCATCAAGTTCTTCACGTTTAGCAACAGTTCTAAAAACTTCCTCACTTAAAGAAATCGCTTTAAAACATTTTTGATGAATTAAAATGTCCTTCATTTTTTGTTGCCAAATAGAAAAATCACTATTTCCATCGAAAGGAGCTAAAGATAACATAGACATAGATCCCATATTCCAAGTATCACAAAGATAGCAAAATCACCAAGATTAAATATCAGCAGGATCAACACACAGAAGAATCACAAAGATTCAATATTCTTTAGCAAAATCGAATCACAACGACTCACAAATTTTCAAAAAATCATACAGATTCACACGAAATATTAGCAGAAGCAATAAATAAAAGAATCACCAAAATTCACCAATAACAGGTATAAATATCACAAAGAATAAATCAACTCACCAAGAGTAGAAACTTATTCCTGAGCGAAAACCCTGGACCAGGGTTTCGTACGCCGCTCCAGATGAACCCTTAACAAAGCTCTGATACCACTGTTGGGTATCCGCCCGGAGAAGACAAACAACACAAAATCAAAATGCTCATATTTAATTAGAAATAATTAAAATAATAATATTAAATACACAATGATGATAAGCTTAAAAATCCTAATAAAATATTTAACTACTGAAGACAATATTCAACAGCAATTAAATAAATATATGCGAATCAATAAAAAAAAACCTTAAATTAATTTGCAGAACATTAAAGGAAAAAATAATTCGTAGGGTTAGAATAGAAGAACCAGAAGCAAATCACACAGATTTGCAGGGAAGAAATCCTTCGACGGCTGCTCTGGTGAGGATTCGATTTTCCGGCTCAGCCCTCAATCTCCGAGTCATTGTCCAAGATCCAAGTGCGGCCTCCTAGCACTTACGGCAGCCACACACACTCATACACACAAAGTGTATTCCAACGAAAAACAAAGAATACAGAACTCAAATTCAAACCCTAATCTCACTGGTTTATCCCTAAAGAAGTAAGTTCGAATTCATCGAAAAGAATCGAGTTTTGCTTCTGAAAAAAGTTTATCTCTTTTCACTCTATTTCTTCCTCTCAAAATACACGAAGTATTCTCCTCTTTCTCGTCTCTATTTTTCTCGTTTTTTCCGTCCCCCACACAGAAAAGGTATAAGGTGCACTTATATGGCCAAATCCTCCACCAAACTCACGAAGAATTAGGCAACAAATCACTAAGATTTGTTGAGGATAAGAGGAAAGCTTTGTTGAGATATAAAGGGGCAGATTTGAAAAACGAATCTGCTGAAAAAATAAAACACCGAGATGTGATAAAACGGTGAAGAGAATAAAGGGAAAGCCAAGATGAGATTGGGCTGACTTTAATTTTGGGCTCCAAATTGTGTGGGTTGCTTTCATAAGTGGGTTGCAAGATGGATTTTTGAATGGGCCATTCACAAAGAATATATTTGGGCCCCATTCTACACCCAATTACATTTCCTATCAATTATGCAATTGGTTGCCCTTTAGCCTTAAAAGCTAAATATACATTTTTACCCCTTGCAATTTGGGTTCTTCCACCAACCCTCATTAGGAGAGTTGGTACATAGCCTCAACTATTAGTAGAGATCTAGGGTTCGAATCCTTCTCCTCTCCTATTTTCCCATTGTAACATATTTTGAATCGAAATAGACACCATAGAATGAATTTTTTTTTAAATTACTTTTTACCCGCCTATCAATATTTCCTTAAAAAGAAAAGGCGGGAGAATGGTAAAATCAGATCGACCCTCTCGAAGTTCAGCTGCCGGCAACACGTGAAGACTGAAGATGGCCATTCCCATGTAATCGTAACTCGTAAGTGCGAGTCATACATAGGATTACTATTCTATGCTTTGAACGCTCACTTTTTTTTATCAATGGCGAAAATTCCTGTTGCTTTAACGTTTAATTTTCGAAATGTTATTTTGCAATCATTGCCATATTTAATAATAATTCTCATTGCGTTTATACTATTATACATGATTTTTTTTATATTAACTAAAAGTAATTTGAGCGATATTGGTAGGGGCATGGCCCCGGGTCTATGCTGCCTCCACCACATTCTTGACTGTTAATTCTGAAATGAACCGTTCTAATTATTTTGTGTATATATGCAATGCTGATAGCCTGATACTAATATTACATTACACTATTCTATAGTTAATCGTATTTCCTTGAAAGTTTTCGGAACATAATAAGCATTTATGAGATACGCTAATAATCCCATCGTGATTGAATACTCGTTTACGAGAAACCATACGCTACTCCTTTATTGCTTTGGTAGACCTTTTCGAGAGTATCGACTCTCAATGAATCGCTATTGCATGATAAAATTTACATGAAAAATAACGACAACGCCAAAAACAAATTGCTCACTTTCTATGTAATATATGTAGTCTTTCTATATATATGGTTGTTCCATGTATATATTATAGGATTCGATTCGTCCGATGATTTTTTTTTTACGTTAAGATCCACATGAAAACAGTCGACCAACCGGTGAGGGCAAAAGCGGCAACTAGATAAGTCCAAAGAAAGAGTATCGAACACTCTTCTTGTGCCACATCAAACAGTTGTGTCATCGTACCTACATTTTCAATTCGAACCGAGTTTTCATCATAAAAACGAAATAAAAATAAAAATTGGAGGATGAAAATAAATAATGAATATGTACCGATATTCATGGCCGGTGGGAGAGTGAACTGAATCATGAGCACAAATTGGTAGAGTGGATCGGAAGAAAGTAAGCCAAAGTGTGAAGCTGTTCTCACAACAAAAATCCCTACTATAGGTAGTAATACGTATCTCACACATATCACTGCTATTATTATCGATGGTTTCACCGTTCCTTTGCGTAACCCTGCATTTATCGATTAATCAAATATTCGTTCTATTGTGTTTATTATTATTAAAAAAAAGAAAAAAAAAAAGAAAAAAAAAAAACAGAAAAGAAAATGTACCTTGTGTTAAGTTGCCTCCGAGTATTAAAGTGATGCAAGGAATGGTTCCATCTCTACAAAATTGACATTACAGTAGAATCTTGATAAATTAATAATCTCGTTTAAATAATATTTTTTCCAGTCTCGACCCAAGGACAATGTGTTAAAAAATATTCACTAAACTAATATTTCGCTAAACTAATAGAATTTGGCATGTCATAACTGTATTCATTTATAGAGGTTTAGCTGTAGTATTTTTTTTCAAATAAAACATACACTTTTGGTGATAGTTTTGTAGTTTTCGAAAAATAAGAAATACATATCATACCTTAAATTCGAAACGTTTATATGGCTTATATGATTTGATAATCAATTGAAAATTACGTATGATAGTAAAATTTATTGTCACATTTCACATTTTAGTTTCGTGTTTCGATTAGTGTAATATGGGGTAGGATTATTTTAATTACCTACCCGAGTAATTTAATAGAGTCGTTGATTACTCTGAGTGGAGCATTTTCGCCGATGATAAGTTCCCGGAGCCATGTTACTGCTCCGAATATAAATCCAATAATCTGAAAAATTAATATGCCCGAAATTAGGAAAATGAATCTCTAATTAAATTAATAACTCAGAAGACGAAAAAGAAACTCACAGCTGCAAGAATCGGAGGTGTCGTTAGCTCCTCTGCTAATTGATGTATGTTTGCCATTATCCGAATCCACCATGCTTCGTTGTGCTTCAACTCGATCTTCTGTATGTAAGTAACGGGACTATTAAATTCCGGGAATCGCTTTTTTTTTTGTTTAAATGTATATAAAGAAAAAACTCACACTTTGTTCCTCTGTAGTATTTCCGGTAAGAAGAAGAGACGCTTCGTTTGTTTCTAGATCTTTGTTAGGCTCTTTGGTTGATGACTCGGCGGCAATCATTGCTCTGTATTTTATACCGGCTCTTCGTATTAAATGGAATGCGTAAGTCCATATGTACAAGGCACCGACCTGTTGAATTAATTCAATTTAGCGTACGTGTATTCGTAAATTGAAAAAATACGAGACGAAACACCAAATTAGAACCGAAAATTTAAAGAAGAGTTAGATTCAAAAAACAAAAAGGTCGAAAGATAGCTTTACCGCCATCGAGAAAGAAACGTATGAAAGTCCGACGCTTGCGCAAACGTCCTTGTCCCCGAATGGATTGCCGTTTTCCTTGCAAATTGCTGGTATGATTATCAACAGAATATTCCCCAAGTTTCCTGTATTTCAATTACTGACATGTTATATACAGTTAAACCTCTATAAATTAATAGAGTCAGGACTAGCAAAATTCTATTAATTTAACGAAATATTAAATTAACAAACTAATAATTTAGTAGGTTTTTACCGAGTCTGGACCAGAAGAAACTATTACTTAAATGAGATTATTAACTTATCGAGGTTCTAGTATATATATATATATAT